ACCAGAAAACAAAACTGAACCAGCTACAGCTATTACTATATGCAAATAAAAAATAAACTATGAGAAGACTGAAGAGAAAGTAGCACTGAAAAATAAGTATGGAGAAATTCCTTAACACTACGGCTGCTGTAGTGGGTAAAAGAGAACTGAGTGGGATATGATGGCTCCTTTCTTTTAGGGTATGCATAAACCAGGAAGGTCTTTCGGGGGCAGGGGGAGAGTCTTTGTACCGAAAAGCTTGACATTTCCAAATGCCAGTTTCTGCACAGGTGTCTTACTGTGATGTTAAGTATTTCTTTTCATACTATACTGAGATCTGAGGTAAAGAAGACCTTCTCTGTTGTGGCAACTGCATGATGGAAAGCAATCCTTTGTGAGATAGTTGGTTGACTTCATTCTATCATTTTCATCACTGACTGCAAACATTTTCCTATGGCATTTGCAGGTGTTTGCTGATTATGCCTGATTTAAGTTTTTTTGGTCACTGCTGACCTCTCCTGTACTTTTAGTATATCATTGTATTCAGGTGGGTAGCCATGTTGGTCTGAAGCAGCAGAACAAAGTTTGAGTCCAGCTGGACTCAAACTATGTTATTGTATATAGATATATAGGATTATGTCAAGCTCCCAGGGCCAGGGGCTGCCTCCACCCAGGCATTCCATTATTCTCCAACTTCTCCAATAAAAAGTAGACATCAAGGGGGGGGGGACTTCCGGCTGGGCGTCGGTTGAGGCAGACGAACTCTAGGAGCTCCGTGGACTTCTTAAAAGGTTTACTATCAAATAACTTGAATAAGGACATCAAGGGGACAGCTACAGCTGTGGTTTATTACAGTTAACAGTAACATAGTCCCAGTTCAAATGCCTGGAAGTCTGCCCGTCCCAGCAAAGCCTCCATCGAGTCTTCACAGGCCTAGGTTCTTGCCCAAATTCCTCAGTTTCTACATCTCGCATCTACACCATTACCACAGGGTTAGACTTTAAGGTAGGTAAGACCCAAGAGAGTTACTGCCATTCTCCTGGCCAGGAATGTTATCCTCCTTGTCTCTTTTGACTTCCCAGGCTTTGCCAACTGTTTGCCTTCCTGCCCTTGTCAATCAGCTGCCCCCACCCCCAGCTTTCAATTTCCCTTCCTTCTGCTATACCCACTCCAGCCTCTCTTGACCTACACTTGAGTAGGCTTTTATTTCCAAGGCACTCTTTGCTATCGAGGAGGCACACAGTGGCAGTCTTTGTCACTGCCTTCCCCTTGGGTACCCTTGGGGCCCAGTACTGCTCTTCCTAATGTTGAGGATGTTCATAGACTCTCATGCTTTACTCCTCAGTCTGGATAATTGTAATGTTTTAAATTTTGTTTTATTATACAACCCATGAGAGTGTTTACATTTTTATTGGAAACATGACTAAAATATTTATTACAAACAATAAAAACAAACAAATATATAGAATAAGCACATATTTAAATTCAACAGAATTTTAATAGGTTACTTGCAAACTGTTATTGCAGGCAACAATGTCTACACAGTTTTAGTTCCAAATCCACAAAAACACACAAAATTTATACAAATTAGTATAGTAAAAATTAATGCCTTAGAGGCTTTGCTGGCAGAATTGGTTTTTAGATTCTAGAATGGGTGTTCTTTGCCTTTTTTTTTCTTTTTTCCTTTTTCTTATAAAAATTTACAAGTGAAATATTACTACAAAACTTTTAATAAGGATTTTCTGCAAAACATTTACAATTTTACCACCAACTATTTCTCTGTTTCAAAATCATTATGTAGAATTAACACCCTATACTGCACATCAATTTTTGTGGGATGACAATTTAGTGACATGCATAAAAAAATCACAAGGCATTAGAAATGGAGACTTAAATACAAATATTCTTGCAATAAAACAGTTATAAAATTGAAAAATAGGACCCAAACATCATGCTTACCTAAGTTTGACAAATAAACTTTTTCTCCTAGATTACACACTTGTATTACTTCTCTCATGAAACAGTGTGATAAATAATGACTTAACACCAATTTCTAATGTAATCAGGAAACACATACACAGCCCCGATCCCAAGAAAGAATATTGTAAGGGTGGAAAAAAACCTATTCCAACACTGGAGATCTACCATGATAAATACACTTTGCACGGATAATTACAATAAAGCAAAATTTTATAATGGTGGCAAAGGAAATGAACAGTGAAATGCCATTAAACAAGCTACTACTGCACATCTGTGCCCTATTACATACAACAGTTATATCCCACTGAGTCAAATAAAGGACACTGAAATTTACGATCCTTCTAAGACTGAAAAGTGGACTCAGAATGGTATGCAGAACAGACTATCAAAATGTTTCTAATTCCAGGGGTAACGAGTGCACCTGCTAACACAGATTAATCTGCATTAGATTCTGTGATGCCAACAAGATTTTGATATACTTGTAATAGGGATTTGCTGCAGATTAAAAAATAATTTCCATTTCATAACTGCATATATAAGTATGCATATAAATATCTTACAGCTGTGCAGAGTACTCATACCTTCAGTTCACAAAAATTCTTTACTTCTAAGTAAACATGATTCTTTAAGGAAATTTTGTTTGCTTAGCTAAATTTTTATAGCACTGATTTTGAAAAATAATAATAAAATATATTTGATGCTTCAGTTCATTTTCAATAAAATTAATTAGTATTAGTTAATGGCCGCCTGTATTAAATGTATCATCTAATTGATTCTGATGCTTCAAAGCCAGACACATCAGCTAAGAATCTTTTAAATAAAATATACAAAATAATACACAAAACCCCCTCAAATTTAAAGACTTCATTCAATGTCTACAAAAGGCTCAAGAAACTTGATATTTGTAGCCACTAAAGTGTACGTGGTACAAATTACCAATAAATCTTTGTCATTAAAAATGCATGCAATGCCACAAAACTGATACCTGTGTAAGATTATAAAAGGTATTTGTTTTCTCAAACAGCTCCCAGTGAAAAAGATAATTTTTTAAAGGACAAGTGTTAACTTCTTGTTAACTTTAAGTCCTATCACTAATGTATTTTGGTTTAAAGTATATAAACTGTGTTGTCAGAAGATATTTTCCAAATGAGTTGTAAAACCTGAAGTTTATACCTATGGATAACGTTTAAAAATCTGAAGTTTGGTGCTTGGGGGGTGGGGTCAACAGTGGGAGGGCTTCTAATGTCCTGGCCCCACTGGTGGACCTCCTGATGGCACTGGTATTTCTGGCCACTGAGTGTTGGACTGGATGGGCCTTTGACCTGATCCAACATTGGCGTCTCTTATGTTCTTATGCCATATTTCTTTTTTGTACAAGGATGTGTACACAGATGTGCCAATCCAGCCAAGGAGATCTGAATGCAGAAGCAGCCATTGACATGTGTAACTAATATAGATGTTCACTAGGCATGCACCTCCATTTGTACTGTGATGCTCATCCAGGTGCTACCGTCCAGCTGGCTGTGCATTCTTACGCAGATGGGAATGTACACACCTATCTGGGATAACTACCTCTTACATGCATGTAGGTGTCTATGACTAAAACTAAATCAGGGGGGAAAAGATCCTCAGTATCTAGCCCTGTTTGAACTCTGCTCTATCAAATGAACACATACCAAGAATATAATAGCTTATTTTTATTGTCCAGAAAAGCAAGTATATTTTGCTGATATGCCTTGTGCCTAAAGAATCAAACTTATTGATGATACAAAAAAATTCCTTACAATTATTCTTGTCTGGCCTATGGGTTAGATACTGAAAAGGAAATGGAAAATTCTGTCAGGGATCCAAAAACAAATCTTGCCACTAGTTCGGTGAGCCCAAGGGGACTTTACAGCTTGAGTTTCACAAACAGTAGTCTGCTTTGCCATATAGTAAGCCACTTTTGAAACAGAGGGGACTTTCATAAGCTGTTTTCTATATTGTCTGAGAGGCAGCTATTCAAAGTAAAAGATTAAAAAAAAAATCCTACTGGATATACCAACCCTGATGGGTGCATCTAAAGTAGAGCTTTGTCAGTACTGTTCCTAATAAAAGAAAAGGAATTGATTAATTCAGAGTTAAGCATTTGGTTGAAGTTTTTCGTCCTTTTCTTTGGCTGTTATGTCAGAGGCTGAAGAATTCAGCATATTAACCACAATATTTGAAACTGCCATAAGATTGATAGTGGTGCGTAAGCACTGTAATATTCTACATCCCACCACTTTTTCTAATAAAATTTAAATATTTAAAATTACAGATATTTTAAAAGCTGAAGTTAAGCAAAGTTTAGTAATCAATCTTCTGTGTTTTGAAATGGGATGAATTAAGGTATAAGACTTGTCACACAGATTCCCAAGTTTCACTTTTACACAGAAATTAATTAAAATCTTATGTCAATATATTTCTAAGATTCAATATTTGCTACTGTATACACTGGCTCTATAGATTTCTTACCTCTCCATGAGAGTAATCTGTATTTACTGATTGTCATTATACACACTACTATAATGTAGTGGTTAAAACTATCTGAGATGTATCTCAGACTCACCCAGCAGCTGTATTGCACATGCTGCCATCTGAATCATTAAAAAACCAAACAAAGATGGCCAAACTTAATAAACATTTCACAAACAAAAAAGAAGGTATTCATATTCACTAAATTATGCATTTTGTTGTGCCTTTTGGAGAAAGGAAGTTCTCACGAAAACACTAGACCTTCATGTGAAAACAACCCTAGCCAACAGCCATGCTGTTGCATATTCATAGTTTGTTGGTACAACAAACATTTACATATAAACGAGAAGAAAAATCGAATCAAAATCTTTTCCATGATACAGAGCTACATAAATTAGTAGTGTGTGGAAGCAATATTTTCCTCATCTGTTTTATCCATAACTTATCCATGCCAATTGGCTGTTTTAATTTTTGAAACTTTTGTATGATGTACACTTTTTGTGCTAATCCTCCAACTTGGAATACTTATAGAAATCAAGGCTGACTACATGATTTCCTGCTCTGTTATACATTTACAAGCCCACTTCCATATCTTGAAAGGTTGTAAACTTAAGTGCAGCTCTAGGCATTTGTACAAAGGTCTTTCAAAATTCCTCCATGTTTGTTGAAACATTAGGAGTTGCTGGGTTTGAATCTTGAGAAATTGCTGCAACTGTGACAATCCTTGGAGATCCAAGAACCTCAGTAACTGAAGAGTCCAATTCACCTGAGGTAACGATAGCAAGGGCTGTTCCTCCACCCTTCTTATTTTGATGGGTTTTGACATGCTTGGAGAGATGATCACTTCGCATAAATCTTTTAGAACACTCTGGGCATTCAAATCTTTTCTCACCTATTGGAAAAAAGGGTGAGAGTTACTGAATCATTACTTTCCCCCCACAAATGCTATGTGGCAATTCTCTGGCTGCAATCGGAGGGAAAGTCCCAGTTATTTTATTTGTGTGTGTGTGTGTGTGTGTGTGCGTTCAACATCTTTCTACACAAGCTATTTGCAAGCCATTTTCTGTTTCTTTTTTAAAAATCATCTTAATACCCATTCACAAATCATGCTAGTAAGCTTACAGTTGCTTTTCCAAAGTATGTGAATCTAGTTTCCTAAACATGTATTCCTCATCTAGCTTCCTAAATCTAGTTTCCTAAATACTGCTGAATACATGTCTTGTGGATAGATGAGTCTTTAGATATGAATATGTTTGAAATTACCACTACAGTATCCATTAATTAGCTATGCTACAAAAGTACAATGTTAGTTGTGTTATACAATTATTAGCCAGATGCTAATTTATCACACTATAGACTGGTGTAGTTTGGGCATCTTTCTATCCTAATGCACAGAATAAAGATACATGCCTGGATTTTGACTTCGATTTTTATGTTGTCAATAAATAAAATCAAGAATTCTTATCAGTCCTCCTAAAAAAGAGAGACTGAAATATGGGAATCTTTGCCAATAGTTTTGTAAGACATTTCACAAAGCAACAAGTTGATGTAAATATCTACATTTATATTAATGCATTGTTTTTGATAATATGAATTCTAATGCATTGTGTTGTTTGTTATCACCTAGTGACTTTATTGTGCTGGCTATGCATACAAGCTAGAACCAAACATGCATAACTGCTTAGACAAATGCAGAACCAAAAGAACAGCATTTACTACTGCAGTCCCTTACTGATAAAAACAGAAGTTTGATTCACCAACTATCCAGGAGATTGCACAATAAGGACAAAATTATTGTAGTTTAGTGAGACCTGAGATAATTTCCCAAGGTGGTGTAAAGTACCCTCAAATTGCAGCAAGCTTATAGAGGCCACATAGGGTTTTCAAGGCGTGAGATTATCAGCAATGATTTGCTATTGCATGTCTCGTAGCAACCCTGGACTTCTTGGCGGTCTCCGATCCAAGTACTAATCAGGGCCAACCCTGCTTAGCTTCCGAGATCTGATAACACATGTACACACATGAAGCTGCCTTATACTGAATCAGACCACTGGTCTGTCAAGGTCAGTATTGTCTACCCAAACTCGCAGTGGCTCTCCAGGGTCTCAGGAAGAGGTGTTTCACATCACCTACTGCCTGGTCCTTTTAACTGGAGATGCCAGGGATTGAACCTGGGACCTTCTGCACACCTTGCACACCACTGAGCCACGGATCCTCCCTGATCAGGCTAGTCTGAGCTATCTAGTTCAGGGCACTTTCCCCTGTAGTATTAGAATTCTCTTGGGAGGTGTTTTTCTTACTTCAGATACATAAACACCTATATGTGTCATGTAACAGTCAATTTTCTAAGAACCACTCTTATTTTTCTACCCCAAACAAAGTTCAAGACAAACTTCTAAGTTCCAATATTTATTTTAAAATTATAATACTTATTTGAAGCACAATAAATCTGTTCAGATTTTTTAAAAATACTCAGCATCCTAAGAAACAGTACAACCACTGACTTCAAACCCTGGTACACAGTCTATCCACTGACCTGTGTGAGTTCGTCTATGTCTCTGTAGCTCATCACTTCTTGTAAATCTTTTTCCACAGAAGATCCAATTGCAAATAAACGGTCTTTCTCCAGTATGCCAGCGAAGGTGTGCCCGGAGATGAGATGTTTTCCCATATACTTTTCCACAGCCTTCAATATGACAGATATGTTGTTTCTTTTTTCCTGGTTCATTACTGCCTCTAACAAGCACAAAATGTGAAGCGTTAAATACAAATTACTTCAAGCTCTCATAATTTCTTCACTTAAAGACGTAATAGTAATATATAAGAAAAACAAAATCATTGGTAGCCCTGAGATGCCTGATGTTTTATAGCTATCACAGCAATTACCTTCCTTCTCCTTCTCTGCAATTAGGGCACGAACAAGCAACTCTTCTTAACCTTTTGCCAGGCTGCACTTCTTGATCAGAAGCTTGCTGTGCTTGATGCAACTGCACCTGAGTTATCTGATCAGGACTAACAGCACCAATTGCTGCATTAGCAATGCCTCCTACTGCTACAGTTACAGGAGCTATTGTGGCTTGCTGTACTTTGACTCCTCCATCCTGTCCTTGTTGCTGACCTGTAAAATAAGAAAAATCTTAACATTTACAGTTTACCTCAACAAGATTACAACATAATTTGTAGCATCCTCTTTACTGTATTATAAAACAGAGAAACCCCACATCACAACAAGCAATTTCCCCCATACACATAATACTTGGGGGGGGGGAGCCCCACACTATCCTATTTAGAATCCTTTACATTAAACCAGAAAACCAGTGCTTCTCCTCAACTACACTGTGCTACTTGCAAATAGTGACAGGGAAATGGTCTGTTTATAAAATTGGTGCATTCCTTATCTAACATGGCACTTTGCTAGCTTGGCTACAGCGATGTCTGCCTTGTGCAGTAAAATCACTGTGGAAAGCCCTTGCTGCCAGAAGTGAATTTGGATGTATTAAAACATGCAATGAACCTTGTACTTGCCCATAACCAATGTTCCCTCTAAGCTGTGGAGTCTTGTGAGCAAAAAATCTCCTTTGTGAGCTTCTGGCATTAAAGTTGTGAGCGAGTGATTTGGCTACTGCATCAATTAGCTTGCTCTGGAACCCTCCTCCCTGAGCTAAGACAGAAATGTGTGAGCTGGAGGCTAAAATTCTGTGAGCTAGCTCACACTAACTCAGCTTAGAGGGAACACTGCCCATAACTGTTCTTCAGTTAGGGCCTTTGTAAATCTACTGATGGTCTAAGTTACCTTGAATATTATTTATTAAAAACATTCATTAGCTGCCTTTCTACCTTGCAGCACTCAAAGCGGCTTACAATATAAATAAAACAGTTATAAAACACATAAGAGATGACAGTTTAAAATCTCAATGAGGACTGGCAATAAATAAAAACCAAATTAGTCAAATGCAGTCCTAAATAAAACTGCTTTCAATAAAACTGTATTAGATAATACTTAGTTAAGGTGAGATATACATTACTGGTAATATATTTTAATAACAAGATTATACATTTGCAAGGTCAGCCAGCAGAACTGCCTGACAAATCCAAAATCTGCATTGTCCCATCAGTATCCCTGCAATATGAAGACAGAATAGGATGTATGATAAATCAGTTTTGAAGCATTCAATTTTGTAAGCAAGTGAAAAGTAATGGATGCTATCAAATCCAGAAAAGTATGTACAGTAGAGTAAGAGTTGTCTCATCAGTGCTAGATCCTTCTCAGTAGATCTATAACTTATTTGGTATTACACATATGGCTTTAACTGTAATGAAGTCCAGGATGATCCTTATCAATAGTATGGAAATGGGTGGAATCAGCATAAATTTTAACATACTAAACATGAAACCCATGCACTGCAGTACTTTTAGATTGTAGTGAGAACTATGGCACATGAAATCCTTTGGTCAACTTGTGAACCCCTACTGAGACATGGAATTACAGCATCTCGTTTACTGCTATTACAGCAATGCACTTTGAGAAGATCTATAGTACTACATACAGCTGAAAGGGCAAGATTCAAAGTTAATGTTCTTCTATGACAGCGTTCAACTAATATTAGAAAAATGCATCCGTGTCATGTGATGATACAAACTACATGCCATCCACCCCACTCCAAACTTTCCCCTTTTCTATATACTTGTGCAGGTCCCTGATCTTTAGGAAACAGCAATGTCCTCATCTTTCTTTGTTACTAACTACTTTACTTAGAGTGTAAGCTGTTTTTTTTTTTGGGAGGGGGTCTGATGGCTCTTTTGTTTAGCACACCATATAGATCTTTGTAGGAGGTATTGATACAATTTATGACATTTCTTCTTCATAGACTACAGGTTTGAAAGCTGGAACCGTGAGTCCTCCTTTGCCTTACGTTTAGAATACTTCTATCACTCTGTTGCAGTTTTTTAGCTAGACTCAGTTCCTGCCCACATTTGGAATCTCAAAAGTTTTACTGTTATCTAAGGTATAGTGTCAGTTTGCCCAAAAAACAGATTATAATGTGATTAAACTGTTGCCTGAGAATTGTAACGATAACATGATTTTTCAAAACTTTTCTTTGATTCATCCACTTCACTGAAGAGAGGCATACTCTGTTGAACAGCAGATCCTATAACTTCCAAGAGGAAGATACTGGCTGCAACAAGACAAGCATACTGACTCAGAACAGCTCCTATGGAGGATGGAACTTCCCCTGCACCGTCAGTCGCTACCAAGAAATTTTGAACAAATGGATTTAACAGAAACACAAACCCATTGCCTGCACCCTTTAAAGTTCTCTAGAATTTGCCTGACATGAAACTGACTTCTTCTATATGCCTTCTTTTAAGAAATCCTGTACAGATTGGCAATACTACAATATTACTGCAACACCTTAAACATTGAAACTTCTTGTTTCAGCCTACACATCTTCAAGGTCTTGGCCATCAGCATATGTCATCACCAGAGGAAACAGCTGAGACTCACACTAAATCCCCAGGCAATGGGTCTGACACCCTGATGTCATTTTCTTTCAGTTTTACTATCAAAGAAGTCCTTAGCATCTTCCATCACAGGTTAGTAGAGTGGTGCCCTCTACTACATGAGTACACAGCCATCAGCTCTCCCACATCAGTGGTACTCTGTGGCTTAGGGAGTGCCACATTCATATTTACAGTCATAAGAACATGAGAATCCATGTTGGATCAGGCCAGTGGCCCATCCAGTCCAACACTTTCTGTCACACAGTGGCCTTTTAAATGAACAGAGCACCTCTAAGCATGTAGGGCTGTATCTCCCCACCACTTTTGAACTTTAGTCAGCCCTTGTGCAGTTGAAGTAAGAAGGCCTCCTCCTCTCCTCAGCATGAGGCACAGCAGCTCTCAGAAGACAATGAGGTTGCCAGATAACCCTGGCAACTAGCAGGGGGGACTTACTAGCAGCACAGCAGAGCATGCCAGAATTGATGTCAATGTGGGGACACTCTGGTATTTGGGCAAAAACTCTACGGTAGAAGCCCTAAGTGACAGTGAGCTTGCCGTAGGTCCCAGAGGACAGCAATATGACCATAGACAAAAAAAAGTAAAACCACCATACCAACACCACCTCACTGTGCTCTTTCACAGTGGCTGTCATGGTGATAGTTTACCCTCTCTTCTCTGCAGCTGGCTTGCTCTCTTCCTGACAACTGTCCCATTGCTGGAATAGAAGTATGGAGGCTGCAGGAAAGGCTGGTGGGTTTGTTGGAATTAGCCCTTCCATCCCTAGCACTAGGCTCACAGCCGGGAGAGACTTGCAACTTGCCCATACTCCAATCCCTCCAGCATTTTAAGGCGGGAATCATGTAGTAGCCACAAGGCCTATCATGCAATGGCTTTGTCCACTTTTCTGGAAAATGGCTCAACTGCCACATTGGGCAGCAGTGCTCAGAAGAGCCACATGTAGCTCCTGAACCACTGAGTATCACTGCCCTACATAATCTCATGTTATATTGATAGCAAATGTGAGAAGGCCTTAGCTGGTTACAATATCCTTGTCTACCCCAAACAATTATGTTCTGCAAATAATCTTGTAGACATATGTAAGATGTTATGGGTAACTGACATTTTGAAAGAACCATGGCATCCACGAGAGGTTGCTGTATCTCATCTGTGGAACTGACACCTTTCTTAGCATTATTTGCAATTATTGTGGCTAACTTTCTGGTATCTGCAGATACCAAATTTGTTTCCAAGGCTTTCTTTCCAAAGCTACACTCCAAGAATTCTTTCAATGTACTCTTGAAATCCAACTCTTATGCTATGTTAAGTTGTTAGAGAATGGCTCTGAAATCCCTCACTTAAAAATAGAATTATTAAAAAGGGGGGTGTATCCTCAGGGAATGGAAATGTCATCAGTGCTGCCGTTGTTTGTGGCAGTGAAACATAACTGATTAGGGGAATCAGAGCAGGCAAAGAAGCAAACCCCACCTTGCCGGAAGACTGAGTCAGAAAGGTGCAGGAAATCTTGAGCTGTCTGTAAAGTTCTAATAGAAGACCATGGGTGGGACTGCACAGAGGCTAAGTAAAACAAGCTTTGCTTTTGTTGCAGGCCTTGATCATACTGCAAGACATGGTGATATCACACAGGAGGCTCCTGCTTAGGTAGTATGGAAACTGTCATATGGATTTCTCAAATGGTACATGGTGAGTACAGAGAGCAGGACAGATATTCTATTTATCTATGCATGTTATGAAATAAAACATGAAAAGAATTTAAGCATTAACATTAAAAAATCTTTATCAATCTGAAACACATCTTAAAATATTTTATGGAATGAACAAAAATGTTGTAAAGTACTTATTCACAAAGAATATTCCTGTACAAACATCTAAGAGTGTTCGTTTATTCCATTAAACACTTCAAAATGAATTTTTATTTGAATGTAATAAAAGATTGGAGACCCAGCCCCTGAATCAGTGCCAGTAGTGACTACTTTTGTAAGTGCTGAATGCACATTTGCTTTGGTGCTGTTTCATGATCACACACAAAACACAAGAAAAGAGTTCACAATAAAACATAAAATGTTAAATTTATTGATACAAATTTTGTCCACATAGGGGTAGCAAATTTCCTGCACGCGGCCCCTTCACACTTCCTTGATATAGAATAGGGTTCAACAAATCCCAGGCACCAGGACGCCATGATGCCTAGAAATTTCATTGTGGTGCCGAGTATTTTCATCAGTCATTCATAGTAAGTGCTTCTAGGTGATTTTCAGTAGAAGTACAAAGCTTATTTAAGTGAGGGGTGGAGGTTAGCTTTTTGTTGTGATGACTACTAGGGTTACCCCATATTTATTTATACACTACACCACTTTTGTTATGGCTTTAAAAAGAACGTCAAGAAATTAGTTGCTGTAGATTTTCCGGGTTGTGTTGCCGTGGTCTTGGCATTGTAGAACCTGACACTTCGCCAGTAGTTGTGACTGGCATCCTCAGAGGTATAACACAGAAAGATAGAGTACTCTCTGTGTCAAGATGAGAAGAAAAATGGTAGGCAGGTAATTTATATCTACTCCAGAAGGTGGGGTAGGGCTGAGTCATTATCTTGTAGGAGTT